TCTGTCGGCAGCCTCTGGACTGCGAATTAGACTTGAAGAGCTTTGTCTCCATGAGCAGGACATACAGCTTTTCCGGAACCCATTTTCTGTTGACATTGAAACTGTTGATCCAATTTACCAAATGGAATTGGCCAAACTACGGACTTGTGACTTGCTGAAAGATGCATTCAAATCAAGCAGCCTTACTAATTTCTATGCATCTCTCCCTTCAGAGCCATATCATAATCTCAGGAACCATGCACTCAAAATTGAAACCGTCTTTGGCACCACCTATGTCTGTGAGCAGACGTTTTCCCAAATGAAACATCTGAAATCTCCAGTCAGATCCAGACTAACTGATGAACACTTGCATCACTTGCTACGACTGCAGTTACAAATATGGAACCTAACATTGACCATCTCATTAGCCAAAAGCAGGCCCATAGTTCACATTGAAATATTATTTGTTTTTGTTGATTACAATTGTTCTTCATTTTAAATACTGCATTATTTTTCCTGTTTTTTCTGCACTACTACAAATAAAATATGTGCAGTGTGCATAGGAATTCGTTCATTTTTTTCCAAACTATAGTCCGGCCCCCAACAGTGTCTGAGGGACAGTGAACTGGCCCCTTGTTTAAAAAGTTTGAGGACCCCTGTTCTAGAGGGTCTGAGCCCCCACACTGAGCCTGGGCCCAGGCTCAGAGGGTATGGGCTGTGCTCATAGAGACAGCAGAGTGTATCCATGTTCCCCACAGGTGGGGCTCACTCGGTTGTCATGGTGATGGGGTTTTCTGTGGTTAGAGGGTTCTGCCGACAATGTCAAAGCATAGTTCTAGTCCCCTACAGAAGCACACAAAGGTCTGAATTAAGACCTGAAACAGCGGCAAAACCGTGACATGGCTCCCTTCTCCTGTCCTCCTACCTGTGTGTATGCTGTGACTTCCTTGTTACCCTGAAGTCCTCCCTGCATAACAGGGACATGGCAGGGACCTGTCTAGTCCATGTGCCATGAGGAGAAACAGTTTTGACTATGAAGGAGGCAGAAAATATCCGTGTCTGCAGAAGCAAAGGGGTAGCCGCACCTCAGCTTTGGAGATGCCCAATGCCGCCCTGAGCCCCAGGAGCCCCTGGACCCCAGTGTTTGCTGGCTCTGAGGTCCCGAGGGGCCTGTCAGCCCTGGGGAGTCCTGGGGACAGAAGGGAAGGACAGTGGCTGGCCCTGTGGGGAGAGTGAGGGGGCTCTGTCCTTCCCTCTGGGGACAGGAGGGTACTCTGGGCCACGCCAGGACAGGGCGTCTCTCCTCCTCATCGCCCAGGGGAGGGTGAGGCCTGAGGAAGGCCCTGGGTGCTGGGCCCCGCACGGGTGGTGTCACCAGGGGCAGAGCCCTGTCTCCTGCCAGGGGCTGGCCTGACCGATGCCAGTGGCTCCTGTCACGCAGCTCCTCCTGCCCAGGGCTGTGGCTGCAGGGGCTCCTGTCGCGCAGCCCCTCCTGCCCAGGGCTGTGCCTGGAGCACCGACAGACCCACATTTTGGGAAAGACTGGCCGATCCCAGCAAACCCAGGGCAGCTCCCTGGCGGGGGCCAGAGCCAGGGCCAAGGCCAGAGGATCTGCAGGAGCAGGAGCAGCAGTAGGAGCCGGTCTCTCCCAGTGCGGATGGGCCTGGCTGGGGGGACACGGGGGAGATGTCATCACCCTCGGGCCCTGCCATGGCCCAGTTCACCAGCCCTGGGCCTGAGCGCTCAGCCCCAGGGACAGTCCCACAGACAGGGTCAGGGCGGTTCCTGTTTCTGCCCCAAGGGTCACCAGCCCCAGCCCTGGCAGCTGGAGGTGGGTGTTTCAAGGTCGAGTGGCCTCCTCTCCAACAAGTGGCCTCAACCTTTGGAGGGGACAATGCTCTAGAAGAGACACATCAGTTGCCTTTGCTGTCCCCAGGCCTTCATGTGGGTCCTGTGCTCATGGACATCCCCATCTGTGTTGACAGCCTTTCATAAATGGGGATTTGGAGAAGTGGAAGTTGTTTCTTCCTCCTGGTGGGAGCACGCACCAGGGCTTTGTTGTCAGAGAAGCAAGTGGGGAGCGCTCCTGGTTGGATGCAGCTCCCTTGGCAGATGCCTGTGCCCCTCTCTGCCCCAAGGGCTGGTTTGTGCCTTTCCCCCCACCCCTGCTGTGGTGCCAGCTCTTGGGAAATGAGGGTACAGAGGGTGGATAGTTTTACCACAGACAAGAAGTTACAGTCAACCTGCCAGGGATTTTTTTCTTCCTGGTTCCTGCAGTAACAAGTTTTGGGTTGGGTTTTTTTTTTAAGTTGTTTTTTTTTTTCAAGGAAGCATCACCAAGGAAAGTGCATTTAGCAGGAGCTAAACTGGAGGCACCCCGTTTAGCTGGAGCATCCCGAGATGCTCCAGTCCTGTGTGGGCTACTGGAAGGGAAGTCCTGGGGGTACTGGGGCCATCAGGCCAATGAACTGAGCTTTCCTCCCAGCTGCACAACAGCCATGACCCAGCCGATGGTTTGCAGGTAAAAACGACCTTTCCGGATGGCGTCCTCCCTCCTCCCCGCTCACCGCCCTCTCCTCTTGTTGCAGATTGAGACTCACAAGCTGACTTTCCATGAGAACGCCAAAGCCAAGACCAACCATGGCACTGAAATAGCCTACAAGTCCCCCACCATCTCCGGAGATACCTCCTTGCACTGCCTTAGCAATGTCTCCCCCACCGGCAGCATCAATATGGTGGACTCCCCCCAGCTTGCCACGCTAGCCAACAAAGTGTCCGCTTTGCTGGCCAAGCAGGGCTTGTGATCAGGGCGCGGCGGGCGAAGATGAGAGAAGACAAGGAAAAAAAAAAGAAAAAAAAAACCCAACAAAAAAAGAAACGAAAATAATAATCTGGCCTTCTTCCTCTGTTCCTTTTACAGCTGCTTCCCCATCCCCTAACTGGTTAATGATTTAATCTGCTTTTACTGTTTATTCAGGTCTAGCTCCAGGACTTCAAAATGAAGTCACTGAAGACCTACAGTGCTCTTCACCAGGGTCTGAGTGTCTGCAGTGCTTGCCTTTGGAGTTTGAGTAGCTGCAGTGCTTGACGCGAGGAGTAGAGTAGCCACAGAGCTGTCGCCAGGGTCTGAGTAACTGTGAGCCTGGGAACTAGGACAATGCCTTTCCCCCATCTTTGAGAGGATCACCGTGCACCCTGAATCGATACAGGCAGGTGTAGTCCGGGTGGCCCCAGTTGCTCAGCACTTGCAGCCTTATGTATTTCACAAACCCAGAATGCTCGTTCTGAAATGACAAGAGGAAATGAGTTGCCTTTTCTGCTCTGGCATTTGACTACTGACAGAGTAGTGCTGCAGGAATGAACTCGTCCAACAGTTTACTTCTGTCTGCCCTTGTGAGGTCTTTGGACCTATTGTGGTCAAGACAATCTTATCCTGCTCTACCTCATTTGGTCATAAGAATCGTAAAGGAATGAGCAGCTACCAGAAGCTTCAGCAAACAGATTGGCAAGTTTTTCTCGCCTGCTTTGAGGCACGTGCTTCCATGCCAGAAGAGCCAGTGGTGTTAGTAAAATGTCTCATTGCCTTCTCCAGAAAGCCACTGAAACAGACTGTCCTCCCTGTTACTACTCACTACCAGCAACAACAGAATCCTCAGAAAGTCCAGTTACTTCCAGTCTTTAACTAGCAGTGCATCCTATGGGATGTGGTGATTTGTATGCACTTGGGAGTCCAGACAGTCAAGCTGATTTCAGCTTCAACTGCGGCA